AGAATAGTGTAATTTTAATTTTGCTAACAATTTGAATGTAGGCCCCTCTTGATCTTGAGGCCCTAGGCTGAAGCCCACCCTGTCTGTGATGGATCCCAAAAAGGATGGTTACCCCTTGAGATGATGTCCAGCCACCAAACTCTCATATTTTGGGAAGTGGATAATGGACTACAAAGAGAAAATATGGTTTTAGGCCTTGAAAGCCACCCAGAAGAAAGGAAGGACAACCCGTCAAAAGGATGGAGAGCTTAAGAAGGATTGTTAGAATATCCCTGTAAATACTACCACCTTATTGGAGATCATGGGCTGCTTCTAGTAGATTCTTGGCAAAGCTGAGAAGAAGGTGGAACATCCACTTTTCTGGATGTTGATTTCTCAGTAGCTGTGAAATCGAGGGATCTTGGTACCCATGGCATTAACTGCAGTTGAAAGAAACAGTCTGGTCCAGTGGCTGAGGCATGGAAGCCAGCTGGGTGATTTTGGGCCAATCACCAGGAGATGGCAGAGTTCTCCTTAGACATGAAAGCCACTGGGTAGTCACTCCCTCTCAACCCGACTCAACTCACAGGGTGGTTGTAGGGAAAATAAGCTGAACAAAGAGCACTAGATGTATTATGTTCCAGTAGGGGGCTGGACTAGAAGATCTCAAAGGTCCCTTTCTCTTCCCTTCCTGTCTCCTTCCCCTACCCTATCCTATTCTAACAAAAACATTCTAAAAATATTTATTTTCTATTTCTTGCCAGCCCATCTAAAGAGAGGGAAGGGTTGCCCCCACCTCCCACTTACAGACTAGCAAAGAGGTTGGCCTTTCCTGGTGGCCTCCTCTCCAAGCCCTCCTTGGCCCAACTTCCCCGCAGCCCACAACGCTTCCCGTTTTGGGGGTGGGGGCATCCCAATGCGACAGCCGCGATGTTCCCGGACGGAACGATTCCTGGGTTTGTCTTTGCGAGCTCCGAAGCGAGCACTCCTCCGCGGCGGAGGCAGGCAGGCAAGCAGGCGGGGCGGGCGCTGGGGCGGCTCGGCCCCCGGGCGTGGCCAAAGCGGTCCCCGAGAGGCTTGTTTGCTCGGCCAGCAGGGCGGAGGCGGCGGGGCGGACCCCCGTTTCCCGGCGGCTTTCGTGCTCTCCCCCTGACCCGGCGAGGAAGAGGAGCCGATGGGACCCCGTTGGCGCCGGCCACAAGCTTGAAAAAGCCGAGCCAACTTGGCGCAAAGTTCCCCAGTTCCTCCCAGGCTACTCCAGCGGTAAGGCGGGGGTCTTTCTGCCCTCTTTCTGATGGGGTGGGGGTCCTTCCTTCCTCTGTAAACCCTTCGCTTTAAGGCCGAACCCGCCTCTTCGGGGTTGGGTGGGGGAGAGGTTTCCTTTGTTCCTCCCAATGGCGCGATGGAGGGGGTGGGTGGGTGGGGGTCCCTGGCCTTGTTCTCCACCCCCACCCTCCCTTCCAAGCCGTGACTTCGAGGCCCAGGTGGCTCCGCCCGTCGCCCGCAGGAAACGATCCGCTCTTCTGAAGGGCGGCGGCGGTTCGGAATACACCTGGAAGCTGCCGTTTGGGACCTGGGAACCGCGCTTCGTTTCGGGCTCGTTTCGAACGGCGGTTCGGGTTTGGGAGGGCCGGTTCCGAATGGTTGCGGGCTCTGGCTTCTCTCGCTCTTCGTTCCGCTCCCCGCCCTCCTTTACCTTCAACAAACCTGAAACTTCCTCTTCCTGGATGCTGCTGGTTGAATCTCTTTGTTGAATGTGGGGAAACGGAATCCTGCTCCCCCCACCCCCTTCAAAGGTTTTCCCATTTCCTGAGTTTCGTCGAAACTTTGACCTGCCCGGTCTTGACTCTTCAGTCACCCGTTGGGATTCCCAAGCAATTTTTGGAGAAGAGTTGGGCTCCTTGTCCTGGCAAAGATCTAGATAGAAGGGATCAGGTCAAGGGTGCCTTCTGGCTTCTTCCTTTGTCTTTTCCTCTGAAATCCATGAGGATCTCTGCTCCCTTAAACAGCCCTTCTCCCCCAAGAGTAATCGTGAGATTTGGGCTGGCCTGAGCCAGGAGCCTCACTGGTAGGGAATTCTGGAACTGGAGTAAATAACTCAAACAAAAAGCCATTTTTTTTTGTTCAGGTCCCAATCAGTTATACGTATTAATTCCAAAAATCCACTCAATATTTCCATTGCAGTCACATGAGTAAGTTTAGTAGGAGTGGGGGGAACAGAATGATTTCTCAGCTTGCACCCCTTAATAGTGGAAAAACTTTAAGGTACTATGGGTCCTCTGCAGAAGTGGAATGATTACATTTAAGCTGAATTTGATTTGGTTCTGCCACTGATTGACAGGGAGGGAAACCCTAGAGGGGTAGGCAGCCTTTTATTGGGTCCCGGTGGTGGAAAGGTTTGTGCTGGCAGTCCTCAACTTACAACTGCAGTTGGTAAGCGACCCAGTTGTTAAATGAGCTTTGCTTCATCTTACGGCCTTTCTTGCTTCAGTTGTTAAGTGACTCTATGCAACTGTTCAGTTAATCACGCCGTTATTAAGTGAATCTGGCTTCCCCCCCACAGACTTTGCTTGCCAGAAGGTTGCAAGAGGAGATCACATGAAATGCCCCCACCCAATACACTGGATTAATCATAAATATGAATCAGTTGCTGAGCATTTGAATTTTAATGACGTGATCGTGGGGCAGCTGCAGCTATCAAAAGTGTGAAAAATGGTCATAAGTCATTTTCTTTCTAGTGCCTTTGTAACATTGGTCACTAAATGAACTGTTGTAAGTTTAGGAATCCCTGTATTTTGCAATACAACTTACAATGGTCAGGGTGGAAAGACCTACAATTTGAAGTTCAGCTGCCTTTTGTTGAAATCAGTGCAATTAGAATTATTACAACTTCAGGTCACTTGGGTTGAGATCCCTTAATCCAACTTTTCTGGGTGGCTGAATTAGCTTGGATGGGATCCTATCAGCTAAAGTATTGTGTAGATGCTGCTTGAGGGTTTTCCCCCCTCACACCCTGGATAAAGGGGTTTTGTGAACATATGTTAAACATATGAACATATGTTTAATGGACTGATTGCCATCTGTCAGAAATGGTGTAGAGTCTCCTGCTTGGGCAGAGGTGGGATTGGACTGGATGACCTACAATGTCCCTTCCAACTCTGTTCTGTAAAAAAAAGAAGCGGCGTGGACAGCCACTTTGTCTGAAATGGTATAGGGCCTCCTGCTTGAGCAGGGGGTTGGACTAGATCAAGGAGTCACCAGCTTTCGGACCTCAGGGACTACTGAATTCATAATTTTAAACCCAGCAGATCACCAATATGGATTTTTTAAAAAGATAAATAGTATTTAGTGCAATATAAAAGTGCAAATAATTTTTCTGTTGACCACCAGAATTTTCTTGCGGACCATTGGTGGTCCATGGACCACCAGTTGGTGACCGCTGGACTAGATGACCTACAAGGTCCTTTCCAACTCTGTTAAATAACATATGGAATAATGCTCCCCTTGAGTTGGTTTAAAAGCACCTTGAATTTATCTTGAGGTTTGGGACTGATTATGCAGCCTTGGCACCACAAGATTTTGCATCTCCTTGTCGATACAAAGAGGTCTCATGTACCACAGTGTTCTTCCAAATGTGGAAACGTTGAGACGTGTGTACTTCAACATCCAGATTTGGCTAGGGAATTCCTGGAGTTGAAGTCTGTACATCTCAAACTTGCCAACTTTGAAACAAATATTGATGTAGGGCCCTAATAACGCTTCTAGATAATCATAATCTTTGTTGTGGGCATTGTTGGAGAAGAAACAGCCTTTCACAGCTCTGAGTATCATCTTGTTTATACAGGAGTTTGTGAAATAATAGCAGTATTGTCCGGCATAGAGGAGAATTGGAATTTTGCGTTGTGCTAGGTTAGGAGGACGCAGATCAGGGTTCTGTAAGAGATCGATCAGGGGGTTGATATAGGAGTTAAAAAGGGAGGGATATACAGGATATCACAACTAAAGAAATTCTTGAGCCGAGCTTAACTCCAGGAAATTTCATGGGCTGCCATTACCTACCTCTTGAGAATACTATTGAACTGATTTGCTGTGATTTTTAAAAAAGGATTTCTTCCCCCAACTTTCCAGGTTAACCATGGATCAGAGCTCTGTTGATGGTCTTCCATCAATGCACAAACTAGGCCTGGGACTTTGCTTGGTTTTCCAGCCCAGAGGACTTTGAACAGGTGCCGCCACCTGCAAAGACTTTGAAAGTTGTGATAACACATCAAGATATTACCTAAGTTCTTTTTGTGGCGTTTTTTTATGGTGCGAAGAGACATCGAATAGTCTAGGACAGTGGGTCTCACCCTTCCTAATGCCGCGACCCTTTAATACAGTTCCTCATGTTGTGGTGACCCCCAACCATAAAATTATTTTATATTTTCCATATTTTTTTGAAAATAGGCGACCCCTGTGAAAGGGTAGTTCGACCCCCAAAGGAGTCACGACCCACAGGTTGAGAACCTCTGATCTACGTTGTCGAGTGATTTGAGTACGCCGGAAAACAGGAATGGGAAATTTATTTTCAGCTGAGCCCCTGATACCAAATGTGTTAAATCTAGGTTGTCTGAATTCTCTGACCATTCTCGTGGTTGGTTGTTGAGTCCAAATTCAAACTGCTCAAACAAAGTGGTTCAACCCTATCTAACGTTGACCACTTCAGACTTCACCCACCAATAGCAGGTTTGAAGATGTTCCCATGTTTACAATGAGAACCCAACATACAGAAAGATAATTATTGTTTGATGTGCTAATTTTGTGCAGGTGTACAGGGGCTCTGCAATTTGCACGCTGTTGCTAAGGCGGGCTTGGCTTGATAACATGAGTTTCAATGAAGAGATTTGAAAGTTTGTCTCCATCAACATTTTTAAAGGCAGAGTGAGCGCATTTATGGCTGGAGCTAACCTTTTAATGCATAATTCAGCTCTTTTTTCCTCTTTTCCTGAGATAAATATAGGTTTCATTTCATGGCATTGTAAAGCCTTGATTCATTTTTTTCCCCAGGCTAATTTTCCCCAAAGGCGTCTCTTTTACAGCAGCCTGCTTTGCTAGTTTTCTCAGTAACTCTTAAAATAAATGCAGGGGGAGGGTGTGCTTAGTTCATATCTCAAAATCTGCCAGAAGGCAGCCTCCTTCCTTGATTCTAGTTTCACTTTCTGCTCCATTGTTTGGCCTCCAGGTTTGCCTCTAAAACCCTTCTTCCATGCCATGCAATTTCCCTTAGTAGAGTTAGCAAGAAGGTGACAATTCATTTGGGGGAAATTTCCTGATGATTTGCCCCATTCAGGTGCTAACTGGCTTCTTGGATCAACCTTGGTTGACTTTGATTAGGTGGCATCAAATCATAGCTGATAGCAATAGCACTTAGACTTATATATCGCTTCACAGTGCTTTTACAGCCTTCTCTAAGCGATATACAGAGTCAGCATCTTACAGTCAGCATCTGTAAGAGCCAAGGTGGCGCAGTGGTTAGAGTGCAGTACTGCAGGTACTTCT